CCCCAATTCACGGCGACACAGTTTGAAAGTTATCTGGCCGAGTTAGGAATAAGACACGCATTGTCAGCTCCGTTTCATCTGGCTTCTAATGGCCTTGCAGAGAGATTCGTAAGAACAACCAAAGAAGCTCTCTCACGACTCGATGCAGGGGACTGGCAAGCTCGAATCGATCAATTCTTAACAATACAACATGCCACCCTGTGCACTGCCACAGGGCGCAGTCCAGCAGAACTTTTAATGGGTCGGAAACTTAGATGTATTCTCAATCATCTGCATCCCAACTATTCCCAAGATAACTTCAAGGGGGAAGAAATAGGATTAAGGCAATTTCAAATAGGGACCCCAGTATTCGCAAAGAATTATGCTAGCGGTCCACTGTGGATAGGGGGAACCATTGTAGGAATCACTGGCCCGAAATCGTACACTGTAGATGTTGGGCAAGGTAAAATTTGGAGAAGGCACATAGATCAATTGCGTAAACGTTTAAATTGTGAAGCCTATGAAAATCCAAATATTGTTGAACCTGACTTCCAAAGTTTCCCCAAAACAGCTATCTCAAGCTTGAGTAAACTGGATTACTTATCGGGTAAGGCTAGACTCCAGCGCCACCCCAACGAGTCGACACTCCCAGCCAGGGATGACCACGCCTCTGGAGAAATCCAGGAGGTTCCATTGGCGGAGCCAGGAGAGACAGGAGGTCCCTCTGACCGGCTCGACGCCTCACCAACAACTGAACTGCGCAGGTCAACCAGAGTGAAGTCACGCCCTGGTCACCTGTGTGATTTTGTATGTAAATATGTAAATAGATAGAATAAGTGCCTTCTGGGAATGGAGGGGTGTTATGTCTGTATCCATTTTGTGCGGGAGATTTGAATGATAGAATGCTTGTGATTGGTTAACGGTTATTTCAGAACTGTATATAAGGAAGGCTGTTGCCTGTGTTATTTGCTGAAGTCTCACCCTGAATTAAAGAGCTGTTGTCACTAGCTTGCTTGTACCTCTCGTTATTCCCGCGCTACAACAGTAGTAGTAGTAGTTGTTGTTTCTTCTTCTTCTTCTTCTTCTTCTTCTTCTTCTTCTTCTTCTTCTTCTTCTTCTTCCTTCTTCTTCTTCTTCTTCTTCTTCTTCTTCTTCTTCTTCTTCTTCTCCTCCTCCTCCTCCTCCTCCTCCTCCTCCTCCTCCTCCTCCTTCTTCTTTTTCCCCTCCTCCCCCTCCTCCTCCTCCTCCTTCCCCTCCTCCTCCTCCAGAGCTGGTGTAATGAAATACAACTTCAGTGGATACAAGTACCTCTAGTAATTTTATGTGTATAGCTTTCAATTTTAATAAGGTGTTATGAAGTGCTTTAAAAACAAAACTAACAAAAAAATATTTTTGTCCAGCAAGTGTGACTTTTGTTCACCTTTTCCCCAGTCACAACATAAAGCTTTGTCCTGCCAAAAGAAAGGAACAAAAAGAAAAGAAATGAAATCCACTTTGAAAACACAAAGCATCATGCAATCAGTGGCTTCCCTGCCTTGTCTATACAATATTAATGAATCAAAATGACATGGATTATTTTTAGATTATTGTTAATATTTTATAATCTCTTAATATTGTAAGCCACTCAGAGTTACCACACAATAAGATGGGCGGCTAATAAATTTTACAAATAGATAAATAAATAAATAGTTAAAATAAGGGAGTATGTTTTACAGTTTAAAAATGCTTTACCAAAGCATGTTTGAAGAACCTCTTGGGTCATGCTTAAAATTGCAATTTAACTTAAAGACTGACCCATAATTATTTTCATCTTGAAGCTTATTAATGGAAGAGAGTCTTACAATATTCAAAATTAAAGATTTGAACAAGATTTTGAGTTCAAATCTTTTTACCACTTACCTGCTGTGATGGGAAATTGGCCAAGTTGGGAAATGTAGATGCAAGTGAAATTTTGACTTTTATCAAAAGTTGCATGCAATGGCAGGGAGAAGTAATATTAAAAAATCTTCAAGGTGATGGCAGTTTTCTAATTCTCTGCCTTGCTTCGTGATTCCGTTTTTTTTTAACTAGAGATGTCACTTATTTGAACATACACCTATTGCTGGTCTAGATTCAGTCAGCTGGTATGTATCTGGAGATGCTGTAATATTGTGGTGTGCTAGGAGAAGAAGGGAAATCCAGGATCGTGTCCATCCTCAATATGGAAGTTCACTGGGTGAATTGCAAGCAATCTCTCTCCCTCAACACAGTCTAAAGTTGCATGTGTTCCCCTCTTTGTCTGTGGAGTTCTCAGTCATCCAGGTCATGGTTGTCCCAAAAGTGCTTTTCAAAAGGCAAGTGGACTTTGTTTTCCTTGAAGATGTTTCGCTTTTCATCCAAGAAGCTTCTTCAAAACTTCAGAAGCTTCTTGGAGGAGAACTGCAGCATCTTCAAGGAAAAACAAAGTCCACTTGCCCTTTGAAAAAGCACCTTTGGGATTCATTCTCCTCTTTGCTACGAACATCTGAATGCCCTCTAAGTAATGGCAAAGAGTGAGTTTTCTAACCCTTTTTTTAAAGGTAGACCTTGATTTACTACCATAATTAAGCCTGGAATTATAAGTCATAAGTCCTTTCAGTTGTTAAGCAGCTTACCATATGACTGGACCTAATTTTATGACTTCTTTTGTGGCAGTTGTTAAGTGAATGCTACAGTCATTTAAGCAAATCAAATTGCCCAATGGGCAATTTTTTGCCAGAAATTGGAATAAAAATCTGAAACCGGCAAAAAAAATATCAAAACTCTTGGTCATGTGACTGTGGGATATTGCAAGTGGCTGTAAAAGTGACCTGGTCCCCAACCAAGCATCCAAAATGTGATCACGTGACCATGCAGGGGTGTCTGTCAAAATTGCACGCCTATCAAAATTTTGAAATTGGTTCATAAGTACCTTTTGAGGAGTCCGTTGTAACTTTGAATGATCACTAAGCAACTAGTCATAAGACGAGGAGCATCTGTATTTTTGCTTCCATGTAGTGTATTGTGGTGGTTTGAATTTTTGCAACAATAATTTGCAAGTCTATGATAGATCTACCAAATCGGCAGATCATTTACCATAGCTATTATTTCCTATAATGTGTGACAAGATTTAAAAAGTGCGAAGCTTCAGTATGCCCACCAAAAGTTAAGTGAAATGCTTCTCACAGTCAATTGTAATATTGAAGAAGACAATCACTTTTATGTTTGTGGAAGGAACCACTCAACAAACCACAGCTCATTCTCTCTTTATTTGGGAGATGTGCTCTTAGTCCCTTCTAAATTTATATTTCATTTTCCTGGTATTAGGCATGAGAATTTTGCATTATAACTATCAGTAGTGGGTAATCCCCTCTCTATAACTTACCGGGAGATTAATCTCTCTCCCCATCCTTTTAAAGATATATTATTTTTAAGTTTGTTCGAAGGCACTTTATAGCTTAGTAAAACCCTTAAGATGTTTTCTTTAAAAAAAACCCCGCTACTATAAGCATACAGAGGTGGTTTTAGAATCGCAATTACAAGCTTCTTTATCCCCCAGCAAATTCCCACTGTGACGATGGATGTAAACTGTTTCAGACATTTTAATGCTCCTAAGCAGTAAATCCAGAGGAGAGAAAAGGTGGGGAGGAAATCCAAGCACCTCAATTTGTGAAAATGAGAGATGTCACTTCTTAATGCATGCGACAAATAAAACTCTGTGAAATCGCTTTGTGTCTCTTAGTGGAATATGCATATGTGCATGTACAGGTAGTCCTCGATTTATGACCACAACTGAGTCAAAAATTTTCTGTTGGTAAAAGTCTGGATGCTGGATGTTGGGAAACCTGGAGACAGCAGAATAGAAGACAACTGCAGAAAATCACAAAACATAAAGTCCTGCAAATAGAAATGGAAGAGTTGTGGCAAAAGAAAGGAAATATAGTACCAATGGTAATAGACCCCTTGGATGCAATTCCAAAACGTCTGGAGTTTCACTTGAACACCATCAGTCAATCTACCATCAGTCAATTGCAAAAGAAAGTTTTATTCAGAACAAGTAAAGACATATCCTGCAACAATACATTTAACCCCATCGAACAACACCGTCTATCTATTCTAGATCCTTGGGGAGGACTTGATAGGTGGACAGAAATGACAAATCCAGTCTAAACATCTGGCTGACTGTAAAACCAACCATAATAATCCCTCTTCTTGTCAAATAGGATCATTGAGACCAGTGATTCTCAAATGTAGCAACTTGAAGATGTGTGGATTTCAACTCCCAGAATCCCCAAGCCAGTACAGGTAGTCCTCAATTTACAACAGTTCACTTAGGGACCGTTCAAAGTTACCACGGCAGTGAAAAAAGTGACTTATGACCATTTTTAACACTTATGACCGTTGTAGCATTCCCGTGGTCATGTGATCAAAATTCAGACACTTAGCGACTGGCATGTATTTGTGACGGCTGCAGTGTCCTGGGGTCACGTGAGCAGCTTTTGTGACCTTCAGACCAGCAAAGTCAATGGGGAAGCCAGATTCACTTAACAACCATCTTACTGAGTTAATAACTGCAGGGAGTCACTTCACAACTGTGGCAAGAAAGGTCATAAAATGGGGCAAAACTCACTTAACAAATGTTTAATTTAGCAACATAAATTTTGGGCTCAGTTGTGGTCATAAGTCGAGGACAACTCTGGGAGTTAAATGCATACCAAATGTTCACAATGGACAGTTATTCTCCTTATACATTTTCTTACCAGTATAAAAGAAAATTTTCTGCATTCGTGCAGAAAAAAATCTGGGAAATTTCATCTAGTACATTTTGTATGTTGGTTGCTTTCTAGCTAACAGCAGCTCCAGCTCCAACTCCCTAACCACAGTGATTAATATAGCAGCATTTAAAAAAAAAAACCTGGAACATTTTGTCAGCTGAGCTGCTTTCCCTGTTCACAAATTTTTGTTTGTGAACTGTTCTTGAAAGACATTGTTTTAGTGCCATTTAGGGCTATTTTTTTAAAAGAAAAATTTAAATACATTTTGAAAACCTGTTTGCAAAGAGCAAGAGATTTGTGTGGCAAAGGTGTAGTTTAGAAGAGTACAGAAGGAGAGGAAAAAATATTTGGATTTAAATAAGATGCTCTTAGTCCAAACTTATTACACAACATTGGCAGGAATTTCCATCTTTCCTTCTATCTCTCTTGAGAGACCAGGAACCGACGATCAGTGAACCGGCTTAATATTAATTGATTTAATGATATTTAAATTTTATTCCAAAAATGCACTTTATGTTTTCATTGCCTGTGATTGTTGAACACAGATAACATTATTGGACCTTTGCATCTTCCAACAATAATTTATTTTCATGTTTGTAGGTTCAAATTACTTTCTTAATGTGGTAGTGTATCAGATAAGGTAAGAATCTTTGCAAGAATGGCAAATTATCAATATTATCTTTATTACTAATCCCTGTTGCTAATAACTCAGCAGTATTTGGATGCTGGCTTTATATGCCCCATATCCCACTAGAGCCCACTGCAGTTTGTTTCATTGTGGATCAGCTTAATGTATTGTGCAAATCCGATTGTTTTGATATTGTTTTGAATAACAGAAAAACAGGGACCTTGGAGGTCTTCTAGTCCAACCCCCTGTTCAAGCAATAAACCCGATATGATTTCAGACAAATGGTTGTAATGTCCAATCTCTCCTTAAAAACCTCCAGTGTTGGAGCACCAATATTCCACTGGTTGTTCTAACTGCTTTATAATCTAATATGTTTTATAAACTAATGAGTTGTATGAATTCAGGTGATTGGGGGTCCTTCAATAAGCTATTATTAGCCATAGTATCTCAACAGGCAGGGAGGAATCTTCCCAGCTCTTCCTAAAGATTTTGGAAATTGAATTGGAAATGTCTATCTATTGCTCATGGGGCTGTTTTGATTCTAGCTCTTATATATGAGTAATTGGTTGTGTAGTTGTCTTCCAGTATGAGTTTGCTGACAAAGTGAAGCTTACATAGTGTTCTTAGAAGAGATTCCCTCTGTATATGGGCTGGGTTCACTCATTATTTTAAGACATGGTCTGACCATGGCATATTGAACAATTCAGTTTGGTTGCGTCTGGTCAACATTCATTTAAAAACCACAGTGGCTGGACTCACACAGGCTAAGCCAGGGGTGTCAAACTTGATTTCATTGAGGGCCGCATCAGGGTTGTGTTGATCTTATGGGGCTGGGGTGGGCGTGGCCTGAGTGGGTATGTTGGGGGCGCCTGTAGTGGCCTGAGTGCTCTGCCAGCGAAAACGGAGTTCGGGAGGGCGGCACGCGGTCCTTGTGAGCTTTGTTTTTGCTGGCAGAGGCACCGCGGGCCGGTCCTTCACTGTTTCCAGGCAACCCCGCAGGCCAGATCTAAGCACCCCATGGACTGGATCCGGACTCCGGGCCTTGAGTTTCACACCCCTGGGCTAAGCCAATATCAAGTAAACCATTTTTGGTTTTTCTTATTGATGGCAATTTGAAGTGAGTAAAATTCTAAAACAAGAGTGATCTGCTTTTGCTAACTGGACACTCATTGGTTCTCATGCTGGCTGGGAATTTTTGGAGTGTCTATCTTAACATAACTGGAGACATCAAGGTGGAGCTGACCTTGAATAAATAATGGCTGAGACTCAGCTTACTTTTTGGATCAGGAACTAAGCACACTGTCCTTTCTCTTACACAATCACTTTGGTTGCCTTCCTGAGCTTTTCGTTTTGTACAATACAATACTGATAGGAGGGTGATGCTTAAACATTTAATAGCTCCGGCAGGTCCTGATTGAGTTTTTGCCTTCCCTCTAAGTTATGAATGAAGCTCACTACATTTGCAATCTAAAAAGGTTTGCCATAAAGCAGAACTCACAAAATACAGTGGCTGGAGTGCTCAGGGAGAAAAATGTCATTATCTTGGTCAGTTCTGGAACAAATGTGGGTGTTGATAGCAGAGAGAAAGAGAGAGAGAGAGACAGAGACGTTTAAATATACTTTTAACAATTGCTTTGAATTTTATATCCCAACTGGAATTATTTCTTTCTCTTTCTCTTTCCATTTTCAAATAGCATTTGCAAACATGGATTCTATTGGTCCTGGGACTAGTAGGAAAAAGGAAGTCTAAACCTTTAGCTTTGGTAAGTTACATTTTAACAGGACTAGGTGATTAAAAACGATTATCTTGATTTTTATAGTCTCAGCAGCAGATCTTGAATGCCCTTTGTTGAAGACTGCTTCAGTTTGCATACAAGTAGTCCACCACTTACAACTGTTCATTTAGTGACTGTTTGAAGTTACAACAGCACTGAAAAAAGTGACTAATGACCGACTTTCACCCTTACAACCATTATAGCATCCCCATGGTCATGTGTTCAAAATTCAGACGCTTGGCAACTGACTCATATTTATGATGGTTGCAGTGTCCCAGGTTCACATGATTTACCTTTTACGACCTTCTGACAAGCAAAGTCAATGGGGAAGCCAGATTTCTTTAAGAACCACGTTACTAAATGAACTGCAGTAATTCAATTAACAATTGTGGCAAGAAAAGTCGTAAAATGGGGCAAAACATATTTAACAAATTTCTCACATTAATTTTGGGTCATGGTTGTAAGTTAAAGACTACCTGTATATAAAACCGTGTTACCCATTTTTCATCTTGAAATCATAATTCCAAAGTGGGTTTGGTGGATACAAGAGAATAAATATTCTCTGGTAGCGACAAAACTAGGGAACTTCGACCCTTTAGTTTCTTATGGTTTTTTTTAAAAAAATTCTCATAGTCTAATTCTTGGCTGCATGCAGCAATCTATAGGCAAGCTTTTAAAATCTTTAATTAAAGATTTTTCTCATTTGGCTGCGTGTCAGATACATTTCTCAAATACACAGCTGTCTTATATTAAGTTATGGTTTGCTTAATCATTGTTTGTTGAACAAAAATCTTCATTGGCTATGTTTGCATAACACATAATGGTTTGAGAATGATAACAGCTAGGTTCAACCAAAAACAAATAGGCCAATTGTGGATAAAGCAATATATGAACTCAATTAGGGTCTGTAGAGTTGCCTATGTGAATATGACATCCTTAGATCTTCCCTTGTTCTTTTGTGAATCTGGTGTGGTGAACCATAGCTTGAGATGACTAAAAAAAACAAAGGTGCTTTTTCAAAAGGTAGTTGGAATTTCTTTGCTTTTTCCTTGAAGACTTTTTGCTTTTCATCTAAGAAGCTTCTTTAGTTCTGACTGAAAGAACTAAAAACTTCCTTTTAAACAATAGATAGGATTGCTATTGTGCAGGTGTATCTCACAGCAGCCTAATTAAACTTGCTTTATAGTTGGATTGTTTTTAATACGTTAGTTGGATTTTCATCTATGGCCTTGAGCAGGTTCCCACCTTCCCAACTGGTTTGGTGCATGCCTGGACTCTCTGTACATGTGCAAATCCTTCTGCGCATGCACAGAGGGTAAAAAACAAATTATTTCCTGGTTAAAACCAGGAAGTAACGACAACTGGGCGGCTGGGCAGAGCCTCGCGCTGCCATCGCTACCGGTTCTCTGAACCACCGGCCACCATCGCTACCGGTTCGGCCGAACTGGTCTGAACTGGGAGCATTTCACCCCTGGCCTTGAGCACCTGGAATTACAAGGGCATCTGATAAAATGAATGAATAGAATAGTCAAGGAAATCACACATCCTTCAAGTAGATAAAGCAACAATGAAAACTTTCATAAAATTCTCTTCAGCAAAGGCACAGAAAACATTTCTAGAGATATAAACATTATGCCCAGACTTGTCATTTTGGGGTAACCAATATGATTAGCAATCAGCCATTTGAATTAAATGTGCCAACCACTGAATCTTGCAGATTTCCTTTAGGTTGCATCCCAATTTCAATGGAAGAAAAGCTTGGATTTGTAAAATGACAATCTCCCCCAATGGCTGACTTCATGTAGGAGAAGAGCAGGCAGAATTGAAGGGTGGAATTAAATGCATTATCAGTTTAGAGTCCTTGCATTGCCGCAAGAGATCCAATTTCAGCCTCCCTTGAATTCCATTGATTCTCACCTAGCACCAATTTAATTAGTTTACTAGATTCTTGTGTATAGGTTTGAATAAATCTTCTATGCTTCCACTTTACAAAAGATTCTGATTTTTTTGTGCCTGACACTTCACAACAACATGCTAAATCCACACAAACAATGCAGTGGCTGTGCTCACTTCAGCATGCTGTGCACAAGCAACGAAGTGACATTAGGCATAATTGAAGGTACACAACCTATTCCACTATTACATACTCACCTTCATTTTGATCTGTTGTGCAAACCCAGCTATCTTGTGATTAAGACATTCCGAGAGATGAAGGAGGCAAATCAGAAAAAGTAAAAAAAATCCTAATCCCCTCCCATAGTGTTTAATTTTCTTATAGCTCAAAGTACTGTAGACCTTGATGTCCTATTTCTTTAGCAACAGGGTTCTCACTGTTTTTCTTGGGTGGCCAATTCCACCATCTAATAATAGTCCTCTCCATTAGGAAATGCTCCCTGCTATCAGATATTATACATTTATGATGTGATTGCTATCCTCTCCCTCTCTCTCCCTCTCTCTCCCCCTCTCTCCAATCTCACATTGAAAGCTTTTTGCAGCCCCTTCTTCATCCTTCAGTGTTGATAACTTCAAATACTTCTTTCTAAAGAAGGAAGCTGTTGGGGCACAGGTTGAGTTTTTCTGTCCACCCCATCCCACCAGTGCCTGAACCCCAACTTCTTTCAGAATGTTGGGTCAGAGACTCCATGGAGAATTAATACCAAATAAAGTTCTTACACTAGAGGGTACTTAAGTGAACAATCTGGCTTCCTAGTAAAGCTAGTAAGATAGCTGGAATGCAGCCAAGGTTTTCTCAAGATAGGTCACCATATTGTTTCCTTCCCCATAACCATTTCTATTTGGATTTTGTTCTACAGAAAGACCATTTCCCCCCATCCAGGTTGATATTCCTGGGCATAGTTCTGCTTTTATCTCTGTGGAATTACGGAAAGCTTTTCACTCAGAATTAATTGTACCCTTCGAGGGGCTTAGTGCACCATCTCTAGTCTATGATCTTGTCAAGTTGGGAACCCGGCAGGCCATGACTTTGGAAGGCATCATTGGGGTGGGAGCCACGAAGTTCCATTGTTGCAAAATATGGCACGAGGCAGAGTGGTTTCTGCGTAGAGTGGCCTATTACTGCAAAAACAGTCCCCCAGATGAGTGCTGTACACACACCGCCTCTTCCAGATGGGGGGTCTTTTCATTTTAGGCTTAAGTCAATTGCTCCGATTCTGCCGGCACACTTTCTCGGTAGGGGGACGCGAGTTGTTCAATGCTGTGAGTTAGTGAGAAGAAAGACTATCCCTGTTTGATCTTCTCAAGTCGCCAACCCTTTATTTTTAGAAGTGAAAACAAAGTCAGCGCTTTTATGCGAAGGATTGAGAAATAGCACCTGCAGTGCAGGATGCTCTCAAAGTTTTTTTTTCTTTTTGTCAGGAGGAGGGGCTCCTATAAGGTTCTCTTTCCTTCTCTCTCTCCCTATTTATTTTTTCTTCCCAGCCAATTTGTCTTGTTAATAGTCACCTTTGCAAAACAGTAGAAATGAAATTTGAGTGCCACTCTGAACATAGAATAATAGTTGGAAGGGACCTCAGAGGTCTTCTAGTCCAACCCCCTGCTTGAGCAGGAGATCCTATACCATTTCAGACAAATGGTTGTCCAGTCTCTTCTTGAAAGCCTCCAGTGATGAAGTGCCCACAACCTCTGAAGGCAACCTGTTCCATTGGTCGACCGCTCTCACCGTTATGAAATTTCTCCTTAGTTCTAGGTTGCTTTTCTCCTTGGTTAGTTTCCAATCATTGTTTCTTATCTTGCCTTTTGGTGCTTTGGAAAATAGTTTGATTCCCTCGTTTTTGTAGAAGCCCCTCAAATATTGGAAATACAAATATTGTATTGGAGATACTCTGCTTAAAAATGATAAGTATCTTCTGCACATTGCTGTTGTGTTGGAAGAGGAAGAGATGGGGTGCTTTTGGTAATGACTACCTGGTGTACTTTTACATAGTCTTCAACTTACAACAGTTCATTTAGTGGGTGTTACTGACTGAAGTGACTGAAGTTACAGTGCTACTGAAAAAAGTGACTTGTGATCTTTTTTCACACTTAGCACCCTTGTAGCATTTCCAGAGTCATGTGATCAAAATTCAGATGGCTTGGCAACTAATTCATATTTATGACAGTTGCATGTCCTGGGATCATGTGATCCACTTTTGTGACTTTCTGACAAGCAAAGTCAATGGGAAAGCCAGATTCATTTAACTATTGTGTTACTCACTTAACAACTGCAGTGATTCACTTAACAACAGTGTCAAGAAAGGTCATAAAATGGAGCAAAACTCACTTAATAACTGTCTTGCTCAGCAACAGAAACTTTGGGCTCAATTGTGGTTGTAAGTCAACGACTACCTGTATTGCCCATGTATTTTTCTACTTACCTCCAGATAGTTTTAAAATGTAGGCTATTTTTCTCCTTTGTTAAGGAAAAAACACACAAAAAGCAGGTGTAAGCTATAGTACAGCCAGAAGCACTGAATGCTGATTTTCTTAGAAGTCTAAAGAATGATTATTTTATTAAAATTTCATGTCCTTTTCTATTTAACATGATTTTCTTTTCAGTCTTTCCCAAAATTTCTCTTCTTTGCTGCTCAATGTCAGCAGCATTTTTATTCCATGGCTCTGTCTCCATGCATTTAACCGTGGCACAAAGATGCCCTAACAATATTTATTTTCCACTTGTCCCTTGATTCTGTCCTTACCTTGTCCTAGCCTTTAAGTTCTCATTAGCTGTACCACCTTGAAGCACATCCAATACTGGCCATCAATAACCTCAACCTATAAAGTCTGAAGGCTTTTTCACATAATTCCATTGGGGGGGGGGGAAACCAGTGACTGCCAGCGATTTGGGAATACAAGCAATAGAGTCAGGATAGGTATCAGCAATGAGAATAGCAAATGTCATGGAGTGTTTTCCTTTCCAGGGTGGGTTGATAGCAAGTCAACTCAACGGTGGAGAATGGCTCCTGAGAGAGATGGGGAACTGGTAAAAAGGG